GGCCATTGATATATTCAATAAATGACTTCTGAAAAATGTTTGAACATAAGCAAAAAATAAATTCAACAACTACCATCATAGAACACAGCAGATCTCAAATGTTAAATGATACAGTTCAATCATGTAAAGAACGATTGAGATTCAGAGGTATTTTTGCGGTGGCGGAATCGTTGATAGGAAAATAGGGAGCGGGTGGTTCGCGTATACGTCTCCGGGGGGTCGTTCTCCAGCCACGATATCACAATGATAAATCATGCCTTTCGTATGATTTATTAATCCTCGGTTGTAATAATTCTCGGTCGAGATCAATTTATCAGTAAGTAATCTAAATCGCGGTATTCCCGTTCGAATGAATTTCAATTGATTTATCGTCCGGAGTTATTTCCATTAGCATTCGTGCTTCAAGTTTTATTGTTCTCCACGTTTTTATTATTCGTTTCATGCATTTTCCTCGACGCGACGGGCTGAATCCGACCGCGATAGGCTCCCCTTTTATGTACCCGGCGACGATCGTAAATAACAGACTTTTAATTAACATTGACATAACAGTCTCGTTCGATTCAACGTTTCGTAATTCGAATTTGGAGAACGTAAATCTTTAGTTCATCCAGATGAATGACTGATGCTTATGCATTGATGGAAAATTAATAGATATAATTATTTCAATGATTTTATTGAAATATTTCTATTGGAATGTTTATGGTAGAATAAAGTCGAGGAGTGAGGATGCTATATTTTTTTTTTTATAGAATATATGTAGTAGAGAGCTGTCTATCAGTCTTCGATGTAAATACGATGTGCGTACGAATTATTTAATGTTTATGTAAAGATAAACTGCAGACCTCCGAGTATAATTTTTCTCACGCCGCACATTAGCTATGCAAATCAGTGGTCAGGTCATTTAGCGCTCGAGAGTCGTTTCTGAAAATAAACCGCGGCTGTTCGATTATCTGTACATACGCGGGCGTGTGCAGATAAAGAGAGGAGTGAGCAATTACGCGGCACAGCGCGGCGGCGGAAGCTGCCAAGTCGCATCGTACCGCGATATCAATTGCTACAAGATGTGCCCCGCCCGCTAATTGTGTCGGTCATGACATAAAATGATAGTCGTCCAGAATTTTCCCAGCCTCGCACCTCGAAACGGTGTTAGTGTGTTTCGCCATGGAAAATGATTACCCGTCCGCTTTCATTTTCCCTTGACTTTCATCAAAACTTCCCACGAGATGTTTGCTCCTTCAGTTTGAATGCTGTTCAATTTACTGCTCTCCAGGGCGGAATCCTTTATCATAATTCTGCGCGCATAACTTCTGGCTTTAATTTATTATACAATTGTTTCATGGAACTTTGCTTATCATTAATAATATTGAATTAATCAGGTATGAAGAATTTTTTATTTCACCTCCTCTATTTTTCAATATATAACTTTTCTCTGTTTGAAATTTTCAAACATTAATATTTCATTATTCTCGGTTAAATTTATTCACTCGGTAGCAGTTTTATTAGAATCATTCTCCTTCGTTTCCTGCATCCGTTTTTCGCTCTTTGCCCGACGAACTTCAATTTCAATTTCAATTCTTCCGTCTATTCTATCTATTTCCCTCTTCTCTTTCTAGCTCTGGTCTTTTATTTATTTTCATTTCACGCTTCCAAAAGAATTTCGCACATTCATTTCTCGCCGTTACATGTCCATTAAAATTCTTTCCATCGATATTCTCTATTCTCTTTTTAATGTCAGTTCTCTTCCACGATTTTATCCGTGGAAAAATTATTTTTCATTTTTCCTAAAAAAAGGACTAATTTAAGGGTACATATGTCTGTCATAAAAACAATTTTCTTTCACTCATTGGTACACAAAAATTTGTAATAAATAATGTAATAGTCGAAGGGGACAATGAAATAGAAACCCAGCACAAGAAACGATGTGTCTAAAAATTCCTTATAAATTACATTTACTTGAACGTGCAAAAGATCATTCTCCCAGTGTTTTAGGTATGTATAACGGACTCTAACACTGCACGTCGTTTGGAATTTCGATTATCGCGTGACGAACGACCGTGTTCGTTCGTTTCGCGGTGTTTCCGTTGCTGAAATTCGCTTCTCACGCGACACTCGTGACCGATTTAAACAATGTAGACCAGACAATTATTCTCTACGCCGCGCTGCGTTTCGTCTGCATCCACCCCGTCGCTGTTCTATCATTGCACGCGCCAGGAATTTGTTTCTGTCATGCAAGATGATGTTATTCAATAAGCACTCCAATTTGTTGTTACACGGACCACGTACAATTCGAATTGAGACGAAACGAAAGGAGATATGTTTGCACTGAGAATTTACTCTTACTGAAGGATTAAATATGTGATTAGAGACTAAGTATGACAGTTTGACTAATAATGTCAGGTTCAATTGATTCAATTAGGCTACTATAATTTGTCATAAAGCAACAATCTACTATTAGAAAAAGACAATCTACTATTAGAATGATATTAAGATTTCCGTACCACAATGTCTATGAATGAACTACTGGAACCTATTTGAACGAATCATTTATCACGTTCACTGGATCGATGGACTCCGTTCGAAGTTAGAAAACATTAATCATTCTTTTTACAAGTACAAATGATTCACATCGTGTTCGCAATTAATAGAAATCGATATTAAACACATTTATCCTGCCATCGGCGTCTCCAACAAATCACTTCTATCGAGTGATTTCTGCATTGAATAACAATCGGAATGAATTCATCGGAAGCATTAATCATTTTACCTTTCAAAATAGCTGGTATCTATTTCTTGTTAGGAAGTCGCTCGGATCGTCATTTTTTTTTTACAAATATCGACATTTACGCTCAATTTACAATTAATGAACGCCCTTATCGTAGGCCATTGATATATTCAATAAATGACTTCTGAAAAATGTTTGAACATAAGCAAAAAATAAATTCAACAACTACCATCATAGAACACAGCAGATCTCAAATGTTAAATGATACAGTTCAATCATGTAAAGAACGATTGAGATTCAGAGGTATTTTTGCGGTGGCGGAATCGTTGATAGGAAAATAGGGAGCGGGTGGTTCGCGTATACGTCTCCGGGGGGTCGTTCTCCAGCCACGATATCACAATGATAAATCATGCCTTTCGTATGATTTATTAATCCTCGGTTGTAATAATTCTCGGTCGAGATCAATTTATCAGTAAGTAATCTAAATCGCGGTATTCCCGTTCGAATGAATTTCAATTGATTTATCGTCCGGAGTTATTTCCATTAGCATTCGTGCTTCAAGTTTTATTGTTCTCCACGTTTTTATTATTCGTTTCATGCATTTTCCTCGACGCGACGGGCTGAATCCGACCGCGATAGGCTCCCCTTTTATGTACCCGGCGACGATCGTAAATAACAGACTTTTAATTAACATTGACATAACAGTCTCGTTCGATTCAACGTTTCGTAATTCGAATTTGGAGAACGTAAATCTTTAGTTCATCCAGATGAATGACTGATGCTTATGCATTGATGGAAAATTAATAGATATAATTATTTCAATGATTTTATTGAAATATTTCTATTGGAATGTTTATGGTAGAATAAAGTCGAGGAGTGAGGATGCTATATTTTTTTTTTTATAGAACTTCTTTTATAGACAAGATAAAATTGGCAAAGGTCGTCTTCGTTATGAAACACTCAATTATTGTTAGATACGTAACGCTGGAGGCTGCCTCTGCGTATCCACTTGTTGCTTATCTTTTTATCGCATCACCGTTGCGTACTATTATTGTGTAACATCCATAATAAAATACATATAATTATAAATACCATATTGTGTAGCATGTATAATGCCACATAATTATAAATATAATACAGTTTTTAAAAAGCGAGAGGATTTCTAATTAATAAATATCGAACAAATTATAAAATCGAGACAGGTAATTTCTGAAATTGAAGGCCCAATTAGGGTCCGAAGTAACAGGGTATACATATTCTTTTCTCATACTAATTAATTCTCTTTTCATTTTCCAAGGCTTGTCAAAGTTAGAAAATATTTTTTCCCGACTTTCTTCGCTGTCTCTCGACATTTGGAATTCAATTCTATGCGATTTTGGCTCCGCGGTTGCGCATTATTACCGGCACCTTCACGGCTTGGATTAGAGTCGGATTAGGGATGTATGAAGCCGAGGGTTTCGGGCTACGGACTCGCAAGCCCGTCCTGATTAATCGTAAAACTTGGTTTATCTCACGAAACCGTCAAGAAATTCGGTGAACACCTGTATAACAGTTTCCCACCACATTTCACGTTCATTATTACTACTTACACGTGTTCTCCCATTGTTCATTAGTGATCATTTCATTGCTACCCGAATGGACTTGAATGTTTTGCAATTCAAGTGTTGCAGAGTTTCTTTCAGTAATATTTTATATGAGCTTTTAGAAATCAAGTAAAATATACGTTTCGTCTGACAAGACAATATTTTATTAATTCATTGTTATAAGTTCTCCATTATCGATTTGAGCTTGTACACATATTTTTGAGGTATAGGCAATATTGTATACGATATTCTACACACAGTTCAGTTTTACGAGCCCTTAAAACACGGAATCTGATCGGATCTAGATCAGTGAACGGTTTGTTTGTTTATTTTGAAATGCAGTCAGTAATAAAGAACTTATTGTATACACTGAGATCGGTTCCGGTCGGATCGAAATAACCGGCGGGTATAGATTTTTCCGTAGCCAATTTACAATGCATATCCACTGTGTATACTCTAGCTCCTCTTCTTGGAGTATTTAAATTTATGATTCTGGCCGGTTCTTGCGAGATGTATCCCGAATTTGCATTCGCTGCGTTCGACTTTTCCGCGAGCCAGCTATTCAAATAAGATACAGTTTTTAATCATTTTACCAACTTCCCTCTTGCGGCTATATGGGTAGTACAAAGTAACCGTAACTGATTTCTTGTCCCTTGTATAATTTATTACATAATTCACGACGGCGGTTGTAAAAGAAGAGAAGAATTTCNCTTGCTGATTTTCAATACTGCTTAAGCCTTCAGGAGTTATTTGTTAGGAATAATAATATTGAAGATTTAAATGAAGTTTGTTATCTTCAAGGTTTGCCAAATTTAAGAAATTTATGGCTTGGTGAAAATCCTTGTGCCGAAAAAGAAGGGTACGACACTCGTACGTCTATTCAACGATTTAATATTTACTTGAATAAATTCTTAAATAATGAGTTTGTGTTTAGGTATAGATTAGCTGTTCTCAGAGCTTTGCCAAATCTGCAGAAGCTCGACGATGAGCTAGTAACACCCGAGGAAGTACAAACTGCATTGATAAAGGGCCGCGTTTTGGTTCATCCTCTTGATGTGTACGCTTCTCCACCACAATCCGATGCAGTTAGTCCAGAAGTAAGATCGCTTGTAAAATTATGCTTTGTAATAGATAGAAATCATTCACGACATCATTTTAGTGTATAATATCTTAATTTACTTGATTTCATTAATGATACATACGTAT